AGGATTGCAAGATAAAGTTGCAATAACATTTTTTAATTTAATTTTTTTTTTATTCCATGGAGGAAATGGGCTTTCATACTGTAACTGTAGTTCTTACTTAAATTAAGTATTATGGGTGATTGACACCAAGGATGATAACTATAACTGTAATGTTTTAATAATCACTCTAATTCTATAATGATAATGACACAGAGGAGCAATATCATTTGATTTCAGAATGAAGTTTTTTTTCAGCTGATGAACAATAAAAACATTGACAGCCAATCAGAATCATTCCAATATTAATAAGCTAGAGTATTTTGAAGCAACAGGTGACAAAACTGCATTGTATGCTCATGATCAACAGATGTTATTGTGAGTTGGTGTGGATGCTAATATAGTTATTTTTCTTTGGTCTTTAGACTTAAAAATCTTGCTACAGACCTTAGCTCTTCTCTTGCAACCATCCATGACATAGTTCATAATGGACTTTAATATGAGAAGGAGATGACAGTCCTATGTCTGACCGCCTATTTTAGCAGTTCACAGACCCTCTGCCTCCATCTCTCTCCTTCCTGGACCTTTAATTAAGTGTCCTCCGTCCGCAATGGAGCTCCCAGGCCAGAGCTTTGAGGGGCTGGGCAGACAGATCTGGACTAATCAGGCTGTAAATTGGCTTTCGCTGTAAAAGAGCTTATATCCACGTCAGAGCATGTAGCGTTATTCAGGTCACAGTGGGGGAAACTTACACTGGTATCAAACTAAAACTATTAAATAGACCAGATGGATACAATAAATATGACTTTACACATGACAATAGCAATATCCACAATAAGCGAGAAATGTTCTATATGTGACCCTGGACCACAAAACCAGTCATAAGGGTCAATTTTTCGAAATTGAGATGTATACATCATCTGAAAGCCGAATAAACAAGCTTTCCATTGATGTATGGTTTGTTAGGATAGGACAATATTTGGTCGAGATACAGCTATTTGAAAATCTGGAATCTGAGGGTGCAAAAAAATCAAAATACTGAGAAAATCGCCTTTAAAGTTGTCCAAATGAAGTTCTTAGCAATGCATATTACTAATCAAAAATTAAGTTTTGATATATTTACGGTAGGAAATTTACAAAATATCTTCATGGATTATTTACAGTAGGAAATTTACAAAATATCTTCATGGAACATACATTTTTCTTAATATCTTAATGATTTTTGGCATAAAAGAAAAATCAATAATTTTGACCCATACAATGTATTTTTGGCTATTGCTACAAATATACCCCAGCGACTTAAGACTGCTTTTGTGGTCCAGGGTCACATATAGTATGCCGAATAAGAAAATAAATGTCCATTATGCAGGAAAAAATAAGTAAATGCTGCTCTAAATAGAGAAAATGTACTTAATGTTTTTGGGAATTTTATATTTGACTACTAGTAAAATCAAAAACTAGCTCTCTTAATTACATTTCCAAGGGCAAACCATCATACCTTTTACTCTTTAAAATGTCTAATTTGTATAAAGTGCTACGGTCTTTGTGCCCTATATCCTTAAAATGTCCAGCTACAAACAAACCAATCAAATTATTTTACACATTTTTTACACATTTAACATTTAAATGAAAAATGTAAATGGTCACAGCTGTGGTCATAAAGATTTTTCATATGTTAGCACAATCTTTGATCTAAACGGTTTCTTTAAATAATGCATTATTGCTTTATTATTTTAACTGTTAACTTTAATAGGACAGTCTAAACTGTCTGACAAATTGATTATTATTTTGACATGGTATAGCCAAACTGAAACTACGTTACTGAGACTAAACTGTGCTCTAGCACCGTAAAGAAAATGAATTTGTTTACTCCTACTAGCTACCATCTTCAAATTCTTCAAGCCATTGTACAATTTCTCTCTCTCCCTGTGTCTGATCAAGGATGTCCGTCAGTAAGAGGATTGCAAACAGGCCAGAGATTTCCACTGGCCCTATTAACAGAAAGTGGTTTCACCTTTCTCTCAACCTGTTCCTCTGATAATACACTTTATAAACACTCCCTGAGATAATTAGCTCTTCTCTGTATCCATACAAAAAGCCACCTATCATGGGCTGTGTATATACACAATAATGCAAATTCAATATTAATGCACTTCTAAATGGTGCACTAAATCTGAATATTTTGAGTAGAAATAGCATGCAGTGTGCAGACGGATGGATAGATATTGGACTAATTTACATCTAAATCTATAACTCAGCTGAGACCCCCATATCTTATTTTGATATAATAGGATATGCAATTTCTTTTATTTATCAGATTATTTCCAGTTGAAGTACACAGACAGACAGCGCTCTCTAGTGTTCACAGGCAGTATTACAGACTGATTTCAGTGCCAATGACCTGAGATACACTTTGTGATCCATTGTAACATCTACAGTTACAATTCCGTATAATTTAGAGCATTTTATCAAAGTGATAGTTTTTAATATCTGAAAGACTGATTTAAATACAGACCAAGATTGTTATTTTAGTTTCACTGAAATATTATTAGAGTTTTTAAGATCTTTATTTTTTCCATTTTTTTTTACACTTTTATGACTCTTTTTTATTTTTGAACATGAACATTATATTTTTTAAATGTTTAAATGTGCTTTTTATTCATTTTTAGTTATTTTAATACATCATGTTAAACTAAATGAAAATGTTGCCTAGCTGAAATATAGAAAGTTTTATTAAAATTGTATCTTATGTCACTCAGATGTCATTTCAAGTAACAACATTTGTTTTATGGTTTTAGTTCTAGGCAGAGCCGTAAAGAATCTGGTTCTAGTTAACTAAACTAGCCCTGAGAAATTGAGAAAGCAAAAAACTAACTTAAAAAAAACAAACAGTACATCTAAATATATTTGTAGTGTCCTAAAATTATAGTGTAATTACATTTGCAGTAAAAAAATAAAAATAAAAAGTTCACAAGATTCACTGTAGAGGTACACTGCCTGTTGGGAGCACAAACTGCAGACTGACCTTTCGAATCTATTCATGCACAATAGTGTGGGGGAATGACGCTGCATTTCCACCAGCTTATCTGTGAAGCAGCAAACTTCATCAGCATTCAGACTTCCTCCCTCTCAGGTTTTAAAGGGAACAAGACTGTATACACCGACCTCTAAAAAATAAATAAAAAACTAACAATTAACAAAAAATAACAATTTAATAATGATGATGATGATGATGATAATGATAATGATAATAATAATAATAACAATAACATTGTAAATGTTAAATTATATGCATATTTAAAACAAAATTTAAATATTTTTTAAAATTTAAACATTTAAATAAAATGTTAATATATAGCACTTTAAGAACATACTAAATATGGTACTTCAAGTATTTAAAGGGGTCATATGATGCGATTTCAATTTTTTCTTTCTCTTTGGAGTGTTACAAGCTCTTGGTGCATAAAGAAGATCTGTAAAGTTGCAAAGACTAAAGTCTCAAATCCAAAGAGATATTCTTTATAAAAGTTCAGAGTCAGCCACACCTACCTAAAACGGCTCGTTCTAACACGCCCCCACATACCTACATCACTATGTGGAAATATTTGCATAATGCCGCCCAAATGTTCACGCAAAGAAAGAAGGCGTAACTTTTATTCTCGCTGTAGTATTGTTGTTGCCGCCGCCATGTCGTGAAGGCGCTGTGTGATTCATTGTGAAAGCGAAACTACTTTGTTTGGTCTTCCAAAAGAGGACGATATCTGCTTCGTCATGCCTGGAGCTGATCTGTGCTGGTTGCTGAGGAAATACAACAACTTTGTGCTGTGGATCACCGGATCGGCTTTCACCGTGGACGAAGCAGAGTCCAGCCTGGGGCCGTCACATGTGGTTGCCGCAAGCCCTCCGGACGCTCCTTCGTCGAATCCGCCGTCCACACCGATTTCAAGCCCGCCGCCTCTGCTCACTCTAGCCCCAGGCCTCTGCTCACTCTAGGCCACCGTGTGTGATGCTGTGTTTCGTTGTGAAAGCGAAACTACTTTGTTTGGCCTTCCAAAAATGGACACGACTAGGAATCAGTGGTTAAGTTGTATTTACAACACTGTTCCAGAACACTTCAACCCAAATATTCAGATGTGTGCAGCACATTTTATGGAGGACTGTTTACTGATCCTGGTAGAGTAGACTACAATGCCGGCTGTTCTGACTCAAAGACTGTAAGTACGTTTTTTATATGTAAGGATGCAACGAATGCCTCGTTTATAATGGGTTTTCATGTTTTTGAATCATCGCTCCGTCCTGACAGGGCATCATCACAGTATGGTAGGGTAACATTTCCTTCACACGCTTGAGGTATTCGGTCAATCATAACGCACGGGATAGCTGGCCAATCACAGTACACCTCGCTTTTTCAGACCGATGAGCTTTGTAAAAATC